TTCTCTATCAAAAAACTGTGCACGACTGAGCTTGTCGAATTCAGAGAATCCGTGAATGGCATCATCCCTCATCAAACACATGGACAAATAAAAGAGCGTGCTAGTTCAAATGTTGTTCCTAAAATCGCTAGATCGCCTTTTCCTAGCTAGTGCTAACGAAAAGGGACACGTTTTTTTGGCGGAATCCTTAGATCATTCCTGCTTCTTCTAAACCAAGAAACAAAGAAAGAATACGTAACGCTCAACCAGCGTATCACAACCTTGCCACCGAAACTTCAGATCATCCTCCAAGAGACAATGTTCTCAAATGGAGAACAGTCGAGTTTCTTGCTCTGCATTTCCGGTTGAAGAATGTACCCATTCTAGGGAAGAATTACAAGAAACGTCCAACCAAGAGAAAAAACTACTCTGTTTCGAATGCTGTTACAGTAGCACCTAGCTATGAAAATATTCCTAAAATAGATGCAAAGAAAAAATAGAACACATAGGGGTGTGATTTGTGTACCTGCGCTGCCGCCGCCGGTTGCGGATCGGCAAGTGACTGGAAAAACGCTTCCATTATCGTTTGTACAGCACCGTAGTCGTCATTAGCGCCGTGGTGAACGTCGGAAAACGTTGCGATCTCACGAATCATCTGTATAAGGCTAATTACAGGGTTTAAATCTGTGAAACGCTTCTGAACCTCTCTGTGAGACTTTTCAATAAATTGAAATCGAGGGTTTTTATTGAAATTGTAGAAATGAACGGCATGGCACTGTTACCCGAGTTTTTGTAAGGATGGAACACAACTTGAGCCCTTAAAAAATCGCCACGGATGTTGATGATTCCTGCCTCTCATGGTGATATTTATTTAAGGGATGTAAAAATGGCCTCGGCTAAGGCTGACAAATTGAATTCGTAATGGAATAACCAGAAGGGAACACGCCTCATAACACAAAATCAGCTACGTGTGTCTCAGGGAGGGCTACTGGAGTGCTACTGTGAAGTGGCTTTGCTATTGATCAAATGACTTAATCTGGGAGTTTTTAATCGTTTTCACAAGGAGAAACTTAAATTGACTTAAAGAAAAAATTTGAGTTTGAATCAGGACGCAACGGTAGTGCATGAGTGCCTGTTCAGTGGTCCCTCACTTCTTAATTCTCTCTGTAACATCCACTGATTTGGAAGTGACGTGCTGGCCCACCAAGTGATCCACCAAGCAAGCGGTTGGGAAATACAATATTTGATACTACATACTTTTCTACTTTATTCATAAGCAAAGTCAATCGTCACGTTCGCGCTTTTTCAAAATTTTTGTAGCCCCCCCCCGTTCACGGGGGTCTCGTGCAACCTCCCATCACCACCATCAGTCGTAGAAGGTTTCCCCAATACGACCCTGTTCCCGCCGACCACTACCCTCACCATCTGGCTGTTGGTATAGTATTTGATTTCGAGGCTAGCCGACACAGCCCAGCCCACTTTTTGCTATGCACCAATTCTGTTACTGATATCGCGAAAGTCAAAAAACCGTCAAAACGCAACCCCCTCCAACAACATTCATCAACCTCCGTTCTCACTATTAATAACCTTGCTCAACTCCAAATGCTACCCCTCCCCTTCTTAAAATGACGGCCTCTCGGTCGTAAAGTGCGACGGACGGTTGGCCCTGCTCATAAGCAGATCAATGCGTTTTTGTAACAACAACAGTTCTGCACACCAGTTTGCTTTTCTCGAAGCGCATATTTCCACAAAGCACTTGAACTAATGCTGCAGGGCAATGTCGTCCTCAACGGGATTTCCAGGAGTTGGGAAGCTAACACATTCTTCCTCCCAAACAGCCCTTAATAGCGATCGGGTGAGTATCATACATCAACGATCAATTGACATCTATTTTGCCTACACCGTGGCTCATTTGACATGGCTCTCCCAGACAACAGCAGAGAAGTATTCGATGACTTCTCAGTTGTTGTTTGGGAGAGCAACTCTGGCTTTCAAAGGTAAGATGTTTGCGGCGTCTCAACGCATAGTCTGCTAGCTGTATATCTGATATAACGAATAAATGTGTAGAAAAAGCAAAGAAGCTCTCGCAGATGCTCAGAGGCGAAATGTCGAATATTCTTACCCTTGCCGTGTTGTGCGCCAACAACTGTGGACTAGCGCGTGTAATATCCACTGGTGGTGGAGTGACTGGGCTTGGCACTACTGGATTAACGGTTGGAGGAGCCCAATTCCAGTATGGCTGAGGAGGCGGTGGTGTTTGAACAGTGTCCCTAAAGTCACTTTATTAGCGCATTATTATTGCAGCATCGGATAATAGTGGTGAACAATCGTACAGAATCCCTTGTCCTTTTCAGACAGGACCCTGCCTCTTCACTTCACTCTGCGCACAGTAATGAGACCGGAAAACTATCACGTGCTACTTACATTGTGCAGCGAAACAACTGCACAGGTGAAGTATGTGAACATTGAGCGCATGGCGGAGCGGGGGACGGTTTGCCTCAGCCCAGAGGCTGTAGAGGTTTTTGGTAGAGTGAGCATGGTCACTAGTTATTTTTGCAACCTACAGAGGTCTTTCTCTTTTTCTATCTACCGTTAGTTTCCTAGAGCTTCTGAACAATTTCATTGGAATTTTTTCTCATGCATTACACAACAGAGACACTTACTTCGTTTCTTCGCAAACAATTTCACATAAACACAACCCATAGGACTTTATAGCTCACCATCAAATCTAGTATTTGACTGGAGGCTCAGAATGGACCATGGACCATGCATATCTGAAGCGTGGCGTTCTCCCATAGGCCAAGGAAAGTTTGTCAAAGTACCCGAGAGGCCATCCTCCTCCAGACGGTCTGGGCAGTGGGGAGGAGGCCTTGCTCGTCTGCTGTGCGCGGAAAATCGGCTATCGTTGAGGAGGCAGAATGCTACTGTGAAGTGACTACGCTTGAAAACACTTTTCTACAATATTGCACGTCTGTTCTCTCGCCCAAACCGCTCTGTCTTCTAGACTGTCTGTATCTCTCTTCATTTAAAGTCGTTTGACCATTTGAGAGGTTCTGCTTCTGAGTGCTTTCAGCAATTTTAACACGTTGACGACAGCATGACGCGCATGCGCGTCAGAATTTTGCCCGATTCTGGCTAGTTTTTTATGGTTTATTTGGCCTTTTTCATATTTCAAATCGCAATCAATCGAATCGCAAAGTATGACGTCGGCCTTAGTTTTCGCTAGCTCCTGACTTATTCACGACAAAACGGACAGACAGGCAGATCAGATACACCAAGTTAGCAGCCTCCATGTTAGAGATAGTGGATATGGCCTTGCCACCATCAATCCACTATTTACGCCTGACCCGAAATAACTGAGCACGAGTGGATGTGCTTTGCCTTGGTGATGTGCCACCCCGTTTTGTAGCCTGTCTGATGAGATGTTTGTATGATAAAGTTAAGATGTTTGTGTGATGAAGTTGTCACGTTCCTGCAGAGCGGCCTCTAAATTAATGACCTTGGATATTCATACACATGCTTTTCTGGCCAATATCCTCCTATTCTCTTCTATTTAGGACGCCTGGTTGATGCTGAGCAAAAGTTATTATTAGACGCTCCGCCGTGAATTTATCGTTTTCACCCTTTCTATTTAAAACGTGCACAATAAATGGGGCACCGCATGCTCCAGCTAGCAATTTATAAGAAGAGTTAGGCGACAATAACGGCAGAATCGTGTAGAAGGTATGCAAGCATTCGGAGAAGGGGCGCAACTGATTCAGGCGAGTAACTATGTCATTATGAACATAAGAATCTCCGGATGGATTTTTTGTCTGTGTGTTCATGAGCCTGAATTTTCATTTGTCTTTATACCTACTCATTCGCTTACCTCGTAAACTTGAAGGAAGTGGGCTTCGAGGTCGAAATAGGTGGTCACTGACGCCTCCTCTTGAAAGTACAATTTTGCGCACCTTGTGCAGAAGTGCGCAAGATGGTAAGCTTTTCTTGCCCTCCAGAACACCCGATTAGAGCCGATCAGAACTTCTTCCCAGAAAAAGTGAGAACAAACAGAGTTATAGCGAAAAAAAAAAAACACGGATCAGCCTTTTTGAACGCGAAGGACGGATATCGTGGATAACGCGATACGCAGGAATAAAAAGTTCTCGTTGGGCCGGTATTTGAGCGGGATAGTAAGTCCAGGCAAGACAAGTGAACATAGACATGCAGTAACTTTTGGTTTCGGTATAGGTTTGCGAACAGTGGCAACACCGGGTCTGAGAATCGTGACTCCATGGAGGGTTTACTGGCGGCGCGGATGAGAGCGTGCGCTGGTGACGTCACAGTGACATCATAAGCATGCGATCGCGTCCGCGCCGCCGGTGAGCCTTTCTTTGCTCCCGAAAACTGTCGAGTACGTGTGCGAAAATGGACTGCCATTCGCTCTCAACTCTTTTCCATAAATATATTCCAAAAGAGTCTCACCTTATAGGTGGTGGTAGAGTGGGTTGATGAATCACGAACGTGATCGCGTTTGGGTTATGGAACAATGGGTCAATTGCTCGCTGCGGACTACCTAAACAAGCAACT